GGATGTTTGTACCATTTTTCAGCAAGGTTGACCCTTCGTGTTACAATGCAGACGACTTACAAATTAAGGAGTTTGACGACATTTTCCACATCGTAGCTTAACCAGGCCAAGGCACAAACCCGTTCGATTCTCTCTACCAAGTTTGTGTCTCGGCGCTTCTTTAGAATAAATTGCAGAAGCTAAATGTAATGTATTACCATGTAACGTGGTCACTAAAAGCCTAATATACACAAAACGCAAAATTAGCTACAAGCGTATAAGTGTTGCAAGAGGTTTCCTGTTTCATTTCATTTCATTTTATTTTTATTTAATTTAATTTGTTTTATTTCATTATAATATAGTTTACATATATATTTTAATATTTTTAATTTACTTTATACTAATAGTTTCATTTATTTGTTTTATTTATTTTATTGCATTTTTTGTATTTTGTTTGATATATATTGTTGATTTTATAATATTTTATATATATTATTGTAATATTTTTATCTTACTGTATTTTATTTTGCTATATTTTATATTTCACTAGAAACCAAGATATCTGAAATATAACATCATTGACATAATTTTAACTATTTTAAGGAAATGCAAATAATTCCAAGTACTATCCACACTCTTAAAAAACCGAGTTGTAATTAGTATGTGCTTTAATACTGCAGTGCAAAATAATGGGAAAATCTGAAATAGTGCTTAAAATACATTTTTAAGGAAAATGTGGCAAAGTAGAATATAATTTGCATAGTTAATTATGTTTACTTCATTACGCGGAAGTATCAGCACATCTGTACTGCTGTGGTGTTTCAATATGGATTCTGTGATACATACATTCAGTTCGTCAGTCACTTGGTCTCAGGTATCAAACTGTGTTAAAACTGTTTCAAACCGTTTCGTAATAATATAAGAAACAGGTTGTCAATATCGCTTGCATTCCATTACAGCCCAGAACGTAAACATTCTCTGAAAACTAAATGCCACATTTGTGTCCTTATGAAAATTATACATCTGAAAAGTTAGAGTGGTGTCTATTTTGTTACGTAAGTGTTAAACATTGTTTGAAACACTAAGGCACGATACACTCCAATTCATCAGTGGCTTGACGATTGTCTGTAGCACTTAAGTTTCGTTTCTTTGGTCAGCTGACTCCTCAGTGTGACCAGCTTCTGGTACGTTGTCGTTGGATGGGCGTAGTTAAGGACTGCTCAGAGATGTTCAAGATGAGAAAGTCAATGGAAGGCTATTGTTGTTCCTTCAATTACATTCGGTCTTCGGATGACTTCGAAAGGTAAGGGGAGGTTCTCTTTTTCTTTGGATGACAGTACACTACAGTTGCAAAGTATATTGGTATAAAATTAATACACTTAATGTTAAATTATACGACAAACAAAAGAAAAGTTCCATTCCTCTGCTCACAGGTTTAACAGCGATAATTAACTGTAGTGGATTTACAACGAAAATTTCACAATACTGTTCACGTCAAATGCTAAAAATTTAAGGATTTTCGTTACCAGGCAGATAACCTGGGCATGACGCGGAATAGATGACAGATTTGAATCGTAAAATTTAAAGAGAAGAGATCACTTGTGACTCCTACATACAAGTTTGCGCATTATATTAAAACAAATCTTAGATAAAAGTGATGTGACGACATGAACACCGTAATCAACTTTCTGACTTCATAAAAGCGGATAATTTATTGACCAACTGATCGACTACGTATTAGCTTCCGAAGAGGCGCTATGCTCTTTGGAATTAATTTAGTACATACTGTACGTTACCAGAACAGTTTCAAATGTAATTATAAGCATACAGCAAGCTTCAAACATTCATCAGAAAGAAACTGTTTCAATAAATTTACGTAGAATCATTTGTAAATCAGCACAATTTTATGCACGTTCCATTTAATAGACTGTGCCTTAATTTAGAGGACTGCTATAAGAATGTTAGTATTGTGGGCAAATTCTGTGATTAAAATTACCAATAATTAATTCTGAGATACTGTTTGGACTTATATGACATCGTATCATCACGCAGTTCTTCTTTCTATGCAGACCAAACAAATACAGAATCATTATGTAATTGTTCATAATTAAGTTTAGGTACCACTTTCTTTCCAAACAACAATCTCCTTTTTAATTACATTGCTGACGACAACACTTTTATATACAGTCAATTTTGCTCGTCAAACTGTGTTGACTAATATTAGGCGTTGTTTTATCCGACAGCAACAATGAATTCGCGAATGTCTCAGAAGGGATGTACGCAACGGCTCCAGGACACTACATGGGTCTCACAGTACTCGTTAATCCACAACCTGAGGATTATTACTATCCACTTCTTTCATCTTATGGCACAAAGGTAAAGAGAGTATAAAAACTCACTCAAAATTAAACGTGAAGAATTCTGTCTTCTGGGTTGTTGCGCCATGTAGTATGGTAGATGTTTACTAACGTTTCAGAGGTCATACTGCCTCCGTCATCAGGGCGGTGAAGATTTCTGTCTTCTGGGTTGTTGCACTGTGTAGTCTGGTTGATGTTTACCAGCGTTTCAGAAGCAGTACGACGTATTTAGCTGATCGTTTCTGCTCTGTTCCAGCGTATGGAATACCACTGAACCACGAAAATATGGCTTTTTATTTTTCGTTTTTCAAAGTGTTAGCCGGGCTAACACTGCTGCCATGAACGCTCCCCCCCCCTGACAATATTAATAATAGTTGAATAAGACAAGACGCGAATTAGCTGTAATTAAAATGGATAAATAGTCTGAAACAAAGTTGTTTTTGTTGTTGTTTTTTGGGCGAAGAAGTCAAAAGCTTTCATAAACATTTTACAAGCACCGGCATGTAAATAAGACCTTTTGTCGTTCGTGTCAGTTGTTGGTGTTCAACCCGAAAGACTTCCCCGACACACCCAGTGGCGGTCTGATCGAGAAACTAGTGCCTCCGAGGACCGAGGTGTTCTTCCGACTGGAAGCGACTTCGGTGTACGCTGTACCCAGCGTGCTGAACTTCGACAGGAAGCAGCGAGGTTGCCTGTTCACGAGCGAGTTGTCCACACTTTTCCTCGGCTCCTACTCCTACAGCGATTGCCTTATGAACTGTCGAATTCGGAGCATCCACACTCTCTGTGGCTGTCTGCCCTTCTATTTCCCTATTCGAGGCAAGTTCCATTCAGACACATCGATTTAAACTACTCAAACGCTAGTCTATAAACTCTAGCCGTAAGAACTGCTGAGAAACCAATAAAGGCTTTTAGATAATTATGTATACAGATTAACTAAAACAACACAAATATTGTAAAAATTTAACTGTTTATAAAAAAATTCACTTCTTTTACACCTTCGGGTGGGTCAGACAATGAGTTCTTCCGGTTTTCCTGCATATGAAATGAAAGAAACTAGAGCGCAATTAATGTCTTTGCAAATATCGATTGAACTAATCAGATAATATCGATTTTAATTACAATTTCAGGAAAAACCAGATACTGTAACCTGCTGGATATCCCTTGTCTCAACAAATATAGAGGTAAGTACGCATATTATTATTTTTTTTGTAGATTTTTAACCATAACTATTCATTGACACAAACACTCAAACAGAACGTCGTAGTTGAATGGTTAATACTCTTGCTTCGTATTCGAGAGGTCCCAACATCAAATCTAGGCCCGGAGACGACAATCTTGAATAAGGTTTTCCGTGGTTTTCGTCAGTTCCTCTAGGGATACTGCTTACATTAGTCCACGACCGCTTCCTTCAATATCCTTTCCAAGTCACTATTCACGATTACATCTCATTCGACACTACATAGCCTAGTCTGAGCTACTGAAAACGCCATTACAGAAGCTATAAGACAATAACAGAGACTGAAATGATCTATAGTTAACAGAACCAAAATGACGTGCATCGTAAGTAATGCTGACGTTCCTTAAATATTGTCGCTTTCAGCAATGTTCACGAAGTAAAAATGCAGTTTAAAAACATATTATTTGTCACAGATGTGGCAGATATTCAGACATGAAAAACGTGTAACATTTATGCCACAGAATTCGATTATTTATAGACTACCGTTCAGTCGGTCTGTTTTTTTAATAAAAACTTCGAAAATTTTGGAACGACTCTGTATCGAGTATAAAATGTCACACAATCATTCAAATACTATTCTGCACATATGAAGAAAAAGGTGAGAGCATTTTACGTACAAACACGTTAACTTAAAGAGTCGTTATTAAACGTTATCCTATTTTGTACGTACCACTAATTAATGATGGCTAAGTAGAATAGTAATATATTTAATCCCATTATATTAGCAAAATTTTCACCTTCAAGTTAGATAAGCATAAAAATATGTACTATTTGCTAAAATATCTTCCAGTGTGTCATTAAGCTGATTCATAATTTTAGATATCTTCCTTCGTCTACAAATTTTAAAAAAATATAAAATGTTTTACAAGCATACGACGTTTCGAAAGATAGTTCTGATTACATCATCACGTAAAACCATACAACAGTCATTTTGATTCATTAGAAGGATCAAGTCTCAATTCCCGGATATAATTATGGAAGACGAGCCAGATTCTGAAACGTCGTGTGTTTTTAAATTTGTTTGAATACTTTTGAAGTATTTAAATTTATAGATGAATAAACAGTCTAAGAACATTAATCAGTTTACCCCCAACCTACTTTGTCCGCGCTAAGAACCCTGTCCGTGAGTATTCGCCATTACGTTGTTGCAGAGAAGTGGTCTACCCTGCGACCCACGGAAAACATTCCTGGCTTGGCTGCAGAGATGCAAGAGTCGATATCGTGCGAGGAATGTTACCCGGCATGTTCCGACACGTCGTACCACGTGCAGACTTCCTCAGCAGACCTGTCGCAGATCCCGTATTTTCGATCCCAATTCATGTGAGTCCACTTCAAACTGGCGTTTGCCAGCTCTTACTTCTCCTCCAGTCATTAACACATGATGAAAACATTGCCCATACCGAGAAATAGCGTGTCTCCAAATTCTTCTTGAAATTTCTTTTGACTTAGTTACGGTACTAAGCTTTACCTCTGCCTCGTCCTCACCTTCTAATACAAGCATAAATAACACAAAAATAGTGTGTGGTGAGTATAATGTGTTATGAGACGAGAATAGTTGTGATAAATTATGAAACTGTGGGACAGAAGATTTGGGAGCAGTATAAACGAGGAAAGAATGTTTTTCTGCATTCTTGGGGACAGCGGATGGTGAAACAATTCATACGGAATTTAATTAAAACGTATCGATTTGTTCAAGCATTATTACGCTGAACAAACACATAACAGACATTCACACAGACAGCAATTTGCAATCCAATCCAAAGTTTTGTTCGTTAGTTTGGCTATTAATTGCTTGTTTCAGAGGTTTTAACCCCCATTGAGTTGAGTTCATTTACTTTTTCTGTTGTACCTTCTGGAGCAAAACTAAAACAAAACTGTAAATTGTGTTCCGTCGTGAGATATTTGTACTTGGCTGCTGCTGGACAGTTGTGTCAAGCCGTGTCATATATTACTGATTATGGTAACTTTCACATTGCAGGGCAAACATAACCCTGAAAAATCACAGCGTATTTCACCTCTACTTTGGAAGCAAGAACACGCTTCGTTTGAAACAAGATGTGCTGTATTATTGGTATGACCTGCTAAGTAAGTTAACTCAGACATTCATTCTCCTCTACTTAGAACTTAGAACAAACGTAATCTTAAAAGGTAGCATCCTGTTCTGTATATTAATCTTTAAAGTTCTATGAATACCGTCTACATAACTATGCAAATGTATATTTCAGTTACAATAGAGGAATATTTGCACTTCATGTTTCGTCAACGAGGAATCATCGGATGTTCAGGTATACGTACTAAACGACACTGACATACATTAAAATTTATAATTTACGTAGCAGATGAGTATGTGTGGATTCATATTTACAAAATAAGAGAAAATACAGTAAAAAAAATAAGTAGCTAAAAACTTATTAAAATTTTCAAATAAATAAAACAGTAATACTAAGTATAACAAAATTTGAACTGGAGTCTTCTTTTCTGCGTTATAAAATGAGGTTTCGTAGATTGGTTGTTCGGCCTTGAAGACTATGGAATCATTAATTTAAACTCAGCCACCTTAGATTCTTAATTTCACTGTATATCTTCAACCACAGATAAGAAATCTGCATCATGTGGCCGTTTCGTCGATGTTCGTCGTAACCGCACAAGAAAAGTATAGAAAACATCAACAGCCTCAGTCTTCAAGGCCTTACAACTGGCCGATGACCTAGATCGAAGCAAGGATGTTAATCCTTATTTGCACCGATGACCTGGAACGAAGCAAGGATGTTAATCCTTATTTGCTGATTGAGGTTTCTCGTATTTTAGGTAACTTCGGCGGAATCTGCGGTCTCTTCGTGGGTTTTAGTCTCATCAGCATTGTGGAGTTCGTCTACTTCTTCACACTGAGACTCTTCTTTGTTGTGAGGGACACCAAGGAGGAGGATACCAGAGACAAAATCGAGTCTCGGAACAAAATTACACGCCGTGCTCACAACAATGGAAATATTTATTGGAGAGAAATCATGCCACGCCAAGTTGCATCTCGCTACTGAATTAGTCCGACTGTGGCGTCTAAGCAGTTCTTGTGCATATTCACCATTCTATCCTATAGGTAACGGTGTGTATTTACCCCAAGGTATAACCTTCCCCCACTACACAAACATAGACGCACGGTATCTTTAGAGTGTACCTAACTACAGGAACAAATTATACTTAAAATTAAATATGACGACTTACACAAAATGTGTGTAATTTCAGCTTTGCACTTCGTTAAACGGTTTACCCACAGAAATTCAATCATAATATTGTTCATATTTTGTTTGCAAGACAATCTCCATTTGTAGATTACGAAAATGGAAATAATTCTTAAGACACGTTTTATCTCCGTTAAAGATACACTTAAGAATACTAATTATTTTTGTTCTATAGAAGGCTAAAAATTCACGAAACATTATGTTCACGTTTAATTAACATTCATGGCTCCAAAGTAGTTGCTTTTTATTGGGGGGCTGAGTAAAAATAGCAGAACATCAATTATGTTTCCATGCACTGTTTATCATATAAGCCTATGCAGATCACATTTTCAATGTATTATATTATTTCAATGTGAGTGTATAGAGTAAATTAGTTAACAGCACTGTATGGACCGTAAAATGTATTTACTGTACTAATAAATTCATCACGAGCAAGAAAACACCGCCTATTAAATGCATGATCCTTCCTACAAACAAATATAGGAACATTATGTCGATATGTTTATTTATGTTTAAGTTTGTTCTGTTTCCAGAAGACATAGGTCTCATTGCTTACAAACGCCATAAAAATTTTGGCTAGAAATCCTGAAGTGAACAGACAATCCAGGCATAGAAATGAGGTTAACATTGTCGTACGTCTTAAAGTAAGGCATTAGAACGCGAACTGGATTAAACTGGCTCAGGACAGAATCCAGTAGCGTATTCTTACTAATACAATAACAAAACTTCGAATTTTGAGCATTTATTGACCAACTGGGCGACTATTATCTTCGCAATAAAGTCCCAATAATATCCCCATGGAGTTAGTAAATTAGCCTCAAAAACAATTTTCAAATTCAGAGTGTGATCCTTAAGTAAATCTGCTCGACTGATGTATCACTGTATGGATGGTTAGATGGATGCGAGAAATAAAGTGAGATTTGTGAAATAGTAGGACAATAGTCTCAATATCTGTGTTTCACATTTAATTATCGATGCAAGAATTTTCCAGAACTCCTCCAATTGCATGGCTAAAAACTGGACACAATCGGCTAATCATGTTCGTAAACGGATAGAAGATTTTCTAGAATGTAAGAAGTGCATAACACATTAGGCAGCACCAGCATACGTATTGGATTGTATTGGCGCCATGACAAGAGGACTTTATCTGGAATCCATAAACATTATTCAAAAATCGATCTGTAGTAGCTCCATGACTTAGTTTGAAACTCTGTGGGACAACGCAAAAGAAATTCATTTACATTCAGACGTGCAATTACTTTACATAATAGATTAAAATACGGGATATTTAAACTTCATATTTCATATGAAACAGTATTATAATTCTTAAACGGAATATAATATTACGTATATCTACAGTGAAAAAAATACACATGAAATAAAACCATTAATATGTAAACTGCATTACAGAGAAGATTCTTTTACATAACGCCACGCACTTATTCGTTTACATACAGGAATGATAGTCTCCCATCACCGAAATCTACATATAGTTGAGCAAATATTGTTTGAAACAAGAGGGCTTACGAGAACATTTAGAAACACTTCGACCGATCTACTTTCAAAATTAGGCATAATACCTCATTCTTCTTACCCATATAAATAGAAGGGTGTTCCAAAAAATAATCACATGTGAATAAATTCTTCTGAAACAAAGAAAGAATATAAAAATACAAAAAAATTAACCCAATTAAACAAATATATTTTCGTACTGTGAACCGAATAAACGCAATGCTAAAGAAAATCATGTCTATTGTACTTTAGTCTCACCAATAATAAATTATTTTAATGACAAATAAAACTGACTTCCTAGAGTGCATTCCAAACTTACTTCTTTCATGAACTGAAACGCAGGTTAAGATGAATCTGAAATGCCTTTTCTTGATTACGGATGATAATGAAGTAAAGGGAACTCATGACGTGTTTTCCATAAAATGACTGGCAACCATGGTTTTCAAGGAAATTAAAGAGAATAGAAAACGGATACATAAAATCATTATTAATAATTTGTAAGACGAAAGATGTACATAAATTAATGAACATATTTTACAATAAGCACATCAAGAAGCAAAGAAACATACTCATATTGATAACCAATAATTATGTACTTCGAATATCATGATCAAATTTTTCAATAATTCCATGCAAATAACATTCTTTCTTTTATATAATTCAAGCAGAAACTGCATAATTCATGGCTTGTGTTATCCTTGGTCAAAAAAGCATTGTGATATCTGAATCGTAGATGATCCGGACTGTTATAAAAGTAAGACAGCTCAAGGTCTTAAAATAACGCTGCTTTACTGCATCAATTTAAGGCACGTATAGAATTATTTTCTTGCTGGTCATCCGCGTATTACCATAACAACAAAGAGGACTACAACTGTTTAATACAAATGTATGTAATAAATAATTCTTTCTCTTTTGGATTAGTTACCGAGTTTTGAAATACGAAATAAAGAAATATAAAATAAAGCGCACAATTTTCAGTTACTTAATATTCTACAGTTTTTCATTTCTTTAGGCCTATAAATAATAGACCTATAAATAAGATACAAATATAAAATGTAAAACTCATATTACACATTTTCGTACCGGCTGGAATGTTCTTTGTTGCTTACGTCAGGTGGATGAGACAACATCAGAGAACTCAAAAAGCTATACGGTCATGAAGAAGTCAAGCGAGGAACCGATCCCAAAATGGCTCGCAAAAGAAGACCCCTTATCCTTGAACAATCGCTTATTGTCATATTGCGGACTTTTACCAGCAAACACGGATGCTGAAGAGCGAAGGAACCTAGTAATCTGCACCGTCATGATTATTCTAAATCTCACGATGATAACAGGGGCATTTATTCAGGCGTATTTTTCACATACAAATTTCATGGAAATTATCGAATGTGGTACTGTCTGCATTACTCAACTCAAATGTCTCTTAAAATTTCTAACAATGCTAATTTGCCACAAGGATCTTCGATACGTTATAAATAACGTTACGAGAAATTTTTACGTTCATGAAAAGTTATTCAAGGAAGAAATAATATCGAAGATTAAAGCTGGAAAAAAGGTGGCCTGGTGGATCACTGTGCCATACACATCCATGTTCATCTTGACCATCGGTTTGATTGCTGCTGAGCAGATCGTGGCAGCAATCAAGCACGCGGACAGATTCTCAGCTGAAGGGAACGAGACAGAAGTCACTGGAGTTTATCATCGGAAACTCCCTCTAAAAATATGGTTACCAATTAATGTAAAGGAAAGCCCGTCCTACGAAATTGGCTTCATGTATCAGGTCGTTTGCTTCACTTTCGAAATCTACAGCACGTGCATAATTGACACTTTCATCGTGGTTCATGTAATGTTCGCTTCCATTCAATACGAGCTGTTAGGAGAAATGATACAGCTCTCAGCTGATAAGGTGGCCATGTTACTACGAGTCCGGTCTGAATCTTCGCAACAAGGTAAGTCAGGAAACCACTCTTATCACATTTTCTAGTGATTAGGAATCGTTATTTAGACTCTCAGATGAGAAAATTCTTATCACCTTTCTCCTTCTAAGAAAAATACTTCATTCCGTACAATATCTACATAAAGTGTCGTCAAAAATAGAAAAGTCATAATATAAAAAAAATTAATAATTTTGTGATTGCAGATTCAGAACATAAAGCTGGTTCATTACACAGCGAGTACGAGACGGAAACAGTGGATAAACAAAATACGAAACTTAGCAACGGTGAAGTCACCTACATCAGCAACAAAGAAAATTTGATGTCAACACCCACCACAGACGCTTTCCGGCGAGAGATGAACATTTATTTGGGTCGATGCATTAAACATCATCAATCTCTGTTAAAGTAATTCGCTCACTCTCCTTACGTAAATGTCACTGACTTAATTAGTCTTTGCCAAATGCGGGGATTGTATTTTGTAGTTTCCAGGCTTGTCCCTAGGAATTATTCTTCGAAACTCTATATTACTGTGGTATATACATATCAGTCGGTCTGCCCACAATTTTATATTCTAATATTCTCCTCCGTTATGTGTTCTTTAACGCTCTAAATGTGCATTACATGTAGGTAGAGAAATAATTTTAAAAGGAGAAAATTTATATTTTTGTACAATCCAATACTTATAGTTACAATCATGAACATTAGCTGCAAAAATTTATTAATAACAGGCCTAATTAGTTTTAAAGTAAGAATTATGTTTACGTCTCTCTGTTCATCAGACTTCGTAATTATATCTAAGATAAAATACGAGAATAATGTATTATAAACTTTCCTTTCAATCTTAGGTTCAAGCCTTATAATTAACAATAAACTTATATATTTAACTTATAGGCCTAACCCCTACACAAGAAAGTTAAATAGTATTTATAGAAGAGAATTTTGATGTATTCAGTTATGTATTTTGAAGAGTTTATTATTTTATAGTATTATGAATAGGTATATGTTTTCTAAATTTGCTGACAATATTTTCTGTTTATTACGACAACAAATTTGTGCTTTTAGGTACATCGTGCATCTGAATATCTTAAGCAGCCCAATACAATTCCTGCAAGCGCTGACATCTTCGTTACTCATTTGCACCCTTGGCTTTACAGCAATAGTAAGTGAAGTTGTGGCATTTATAACGTGGTAGCTCAAAATGTTCTGGGGACCACAGACAAGTAGCGTAAAGTTGATATTAAGTACGACAGTACCGAAAATTTAAGCTTCAATAACGAAAGTTTAATGATGGGCGTGTAGCATATTAACCGTAGAAAACTGTTTTTGGGGCAAGTTTTACCCTGTAATCTCTTACATAATGTTTTAATACTATTTTAAAATTGTAGTGTGATTACCTTCACAAAATGGACACAGTACATAAGTATGTCAATATTTTTCTAATATATTTAAGTAACAAAGTGTTGAAATGACATATGAGTTCGTTTGCATTAAACAGGTTTCTGGAAGCACAGCTATCTTACCGAAGGTCCTTATGTACACCTTTGATGCTCTTCTGCAGATCGGACTACCTTGCTGGTTCTCAACACAACTGCGGGTGCAGGTATATACATATATACATACACCCGCCTTAATAAAACGCATGCAAGTAACCTACAAGGGCTACGAGAAGATCCCATTAAATTATACGCAACTTAATATGTAAATACGTAAGCAGAGAAAGAACTACAATGAGACACGTATGTACGTTCATTAACTCCTCAATTCAAGTAGATACTATTGTTGTGAAATGGGACAATACTTAATTACAACCATTAAACTTTCTTGGGACCGAGAGGATATCATTGGCTCCTGTAATTAACGTCTGTCAGCCCAATATATCCAGGAAAAAATCCTTAGTCCTTTAAAGACTTTATGTGTCGTGTGGCGGACAGCTGAATTATAATTATTCATTAAATACCTCAACTTAATCGGGTAGTGAACGTCTGTGGAAAACCAACTCCATGAAACGAAGACTCTTTGAGAAATTAATAAAGACAATTACATCGTATTATGAAAGCAGCAATATCATTACTGTCTCTGCAAGAGCCAATCACTGGTCCCTATCCTGACCCACATGAACCCAGTCCACATTCTACCAACATATTTTCTTAAGGTCCATTTTAATATGATCTTCCTGTCAACGCCAAGGTCTTCAGAATGGTCTGTTGTCTTCAGGACGTAGAACTAAAATGCATTATGCTTTTCTTATTTAGGTTATGTTTGCTAAAGACTCTCCATCTCATCATCCCTGATTTGATCTCACTGATAGTATTTTTTGAAGAGAACAAATTATAAAGATCCTCACTATGCAGTTTTCTGCAACCTCCAGTCACTTACTCCTCTTAGGTCCAAATATTCTCATCACCCTGTTTCCAAACACGAGTTTCTCATATTTACTGGATTGTTTTCAGTAAAATGCTTCCTTGTGTCCCAGGGCGAGAGGATTGCAGAAGCCGCGTACGCTTGTGAGTGGTACAACGAACCTGCGTCCTTCCAGAAATCAGTCGGTTTTGTCATAATGAGAGCCCAGCAACCCGTCGTCCTCACAATGGGTCCATTCGGAACCGTATCGCTAGAACTGTTCGCAGCGGTAAGTTGGCACTTTTTGCAGATTTCTCGACAACGCTGTACCAACTACAAAGTTTCTACGCGCTGAATAGTATGAAAGAATGATTATGCATGATGAATTGGAAAACAAATAAGTAGCACAGTCTACTTCTACAGCAGAGTCTATCAGCATTCTCCTACAGATACCAGCGAGGGAAACCACAGACAATCTCAGAATACTCGACTTCAGACAGATACTTGAATCTAATGAATTTTCTCCTTCCATTGATTCAAATATTCAGCTTTTACGGATTAAGAACTCTGTCCTGTTCTAGTTCAGAGTTACTTCTGAAATGTAAATCTGTTTATAGACACTTTGGCAGGACTCCTTCCTTGGGCGAGTCGATCCGTCGCAAGGCGTTTCTTTGCCTGCACAGGACAGCGCAACACAGAAGAACGAGGACAAACATTCATGCCTCGAATTTGTTTATTATTCGTATTGTTTAATGAATAGCATGAAGTTCGACTGCCTTCCAACGGCATGCCCTTCATCCTTCCAATTTGACGAAAATCTAGCACTTAGCGTACGGTACTTATCTTAAGCAGAAAGTAAATACTCTCATGAAATTCGCTGACACGGTTCTTAATTTCTTCTAAAACCAAACGACAGACAACAAATTCGTAAAAAGTATATCATCGTCGACTTCTTCAGAGATGATACGATTGTTATGATGACCCTAATCTTTTAAGCACTAGTATGATAACCGTTACGACAAGCACATTGCATTCGAGCGGTTAATACTCTTGTTTCGTAAACAGGAGATCACGGTTTCGAATATTGGCCTGGATATATCTGCTTCAACTTCTGTTCATTATGATTTTCCTTCCTATCTGCATTCAAATTCTGAGACAGTAACTTAAAATAGGTTATCTTTCCCAACTCATCATTCTTGTATTATCCTACTACTCAACACTATATATATCCAAAGCAATTTAAAAGCGTCGTTAAACAACTAAAAACCCAATAAATTTAGAATTGAAATTACAATCGCGCAAACTGTAACTCAGCCCTATTCCACATCAAGGTTTTGAATAATGGTCCAATATGCCTGACACGTTCTACATAAACTCGTTTGTTTGTGTAATGATCTATAAATAAGAAACAGGAAAATTATATTCTGGATGTAAATACGCAGCTTGTGTAAATTTTTTATTTCAGGTGGTGCAATCAGCATATTCTTACTTGGCATTATTGCGGAATGTGTATGCAGAGCAGTAGCAAGGACTGTGCAACGGTTACAGTAACCCAACATTTGAGAAACAGTATTAAATTCAACTAGAAAATTACCCGTCAATAATTGTACGGAAAAAAGCAAACAGCAGAATGGTTATCTTATTTGTTGCACTAATATTAAGTCCTTCAACAGACACATTTGAGATTACAACAACTAAAAATAATGATTTTAATAAATGTTCACCAACCAACCAATAGCATTTACATTGCATTGCATTGATTAGTTTGCAATAAAAAAGTCGAGGCTGCTTGAATCTACAACAGCCAGTTTACAAATTAATAGAAAAGAAAGAAAACATTCAAAATGTATGTTTGTATTGAATACAGCTCACAGGAGCACTTCGAACATCTATTCAGTGGTTCTCATCCTTGAGCCACGAACTTTAACCAAGTGCGTAGCGGGGCTTTGAACATAAGAATGACTATACAATGCAAATTAAAGAATCTAATGTAAGATTTGAGGTTTTCACAGCTGTGAGTATGAAGATTTCTGTCTTCTGGGTTGTTGCGAATAATTGTTCCCTGTGATTGCGTTCCACGTGGGCGACAAGGTTTTGAGCTGGGCCAGTCCACGAGCATTTAGCAGAAAAACATTTGTAGAAACGAAACTGGTCGATGTTTACCAACGTTTCAGAGGTCATACTGCCTCGGTCATCAGGGCGATGAATATGAAGATTTCTGTCTTCTGGGTTGTTGCGCCGTGTAATATGGTAGATGTTTACCAACGTTTCATCGCCCTAATGACGGAGGCAGTATGACCTCTGAAACGTTGGTAAACATCGACCAGACTACACAGCGCAATAACACAGAAGACAGAAATCTTCATAAAGAATCAAATATCTGTTAACATCACATTATTTCTAATTCGGTGTTTTTATTAATTAGTCCAAATTTAACAATAAACACATATTTAAAACTTGGAAGCAGAAATTGTCAATGGCCGTATCAGTTATTGTTGTTAATGGTGTTCCAGCAATGACAATGATTGTAACTCACCCCACTTCTTGTTGCAAATGAATTCATACTGAGTGTCTGTTAACAAAGTCTGCCATAACATAACCTAATGATGACCAACAACTTCTATGTTCAGTTTGATTATAAGAATATCATTTTCTGCAAAATATTTAGCAATATTTATAGGAGCCCAAAAGCAATCCTGGCTCTCAAAGATCAATTCGAAATCCATTACATCTGCATGTGTTGTTCTTATGCATAAGAAATATCTTTCAGAGGTGACGCCTGAAGCTTTAATTTCAAAACAATATTTATAGTTATTAGCCATATCAGTTTGGCCGATATATTGAACAGCTCCAAAGAATGCAGTGGCTGCTTTCTTGTAAATTAACTTCACCCAGAATTTCTCATCTCCACATGAAAATAAGAACATCATGTCCATATCTTCACGATTTTCAATTTTCGTTATTTTGAAGACTTTTTCAGACCCCACGAATAATCTTTCCCTGTGATTGCGTTCCACGTGGGCGACAAGGTTTTGAGCTGGGCCAGTCCACGAGCATTTAGCAGAAAAACATTTGTATAAACGAAACTGGCATCGCTTTTCATGACCGATCATATCGCATGCACGTACCATAACCTCAGGACAGCCTTCAGAGCGGTATTTGCATGTGGTCAGAAGTTTTGTAGCAATTGCTTCCAAGGCACGATTTCTTAGCTCGATGATCTGTGTGCCACATATTGGACACAGTCGATGCAGTGACTCAGAACAGCTGAAGCAAAAGCAGTGGCCAGACCTGTGACACAGCAACAACCACATTTTAATGAAACCGGAGATATAACATGAGTGGGAAAATTTTAAACAGTGTCTAGGTGAAAAATGTTAACGACAGTCTTATGTAAATATTTAGTCTTTTTCAGAGTTTGAGGACAAACGTTGTAGACGGCACTGAGGTTCTAGGAATATTATCTTTTACCCAATTACAAAATTCATTAGTTAAAACATTTAAATCGAGAGAAAAAAGTACCCGGTACTCTTCTCCGTGAACTACTACGTGACGTATGGACACATTCCTGGAAAAATAGCACGTTCTACAATACACGTTAGTCCAAGGATAACCCTTAGTTTTGTGCGCTTTTTGGACGATTTCCCACGTTTTTCAACTTTTCGAAAATGTTCGAAAAATGGAAATTTCTCAAAGGGCGTGAAACGCGAAGAAAACTAAGAATTTTCGAAATTTTCGACAAACATTTTGAATTCAGGTTAGGTTAGGTTAGGTTAGGTTAGGTTAGGTTAGTTAGGTTAGGTTAGGTTAGGTTAGGTTAGGTTAGTGTTAGGTTAGGTTAGGTTAGGTTAGGTGAGGTTAGGTTAGGTTAGGTTAGGTTAGGTTAGGTTAGGTATGTTAGGTTAGGTTAGGTTAGGTTAGGTTAGGTTGGGTTAGGTTAGTTTAGGATAGGTTAGGTTACGTTGGCGTCTTCGGTAAAATTTCATCCTTCAAGAACCTTGTTACGCAAGGCGTCGATTTTCTATCATCGTGCCAAACGTTATACCAAGGGTGGTATGATTCATATGGTGTGACAGCGGATGGCGTCGCGACGCCAGGCGTCGGTTTTCTAATTTCGTCAGGAATGATATTTAAATTCATGTGCGATAACATTGGCGCCATGATAGAGCGTGGCAATGTTCGGCGTCGCGACGCCAGGCGTCGGTTTTCTAATTTCGTCAGCAGCGATATTTAAATTCATGTGCGATAACACTGGCGCCATGATAGAGCGTCGCAATGTTCGGCGTCGCGACGCCAGACGTCGGTTTGCTAATCTTGCAGCCAAAGTAATCAAAATCGATCGAATCACATTCCTGGGTCTTGTGATGACGTCTTGAAGACGCATAGACCTTGTTAGCCAGAGACGGAGTCAAGCACAGACCTGGTGAATCACACACCGTGTACAGCATATACCGGTTGACTCACAGTGTGAATACGGCTCAGACTGTGTGAAATAGACAGCCCGGCGGAGTCTAGTCCTGATAAGGATGAGCGAGGTCAAATTTAGAAGAACAAATTTCAAATTTTTCGAAAAATCAAATACGCTGCAAACGCTCTGAAATGCGCACAAAACCGAAAATTTTCCGAAAATTCGAAAGAAAATTAAACCAGGTGACAAGACTGTTCACGAAAAAGATACCGAAAGTAATTTGAAAATAGCTACTATATTAAAATTCCAGTTTCAAAGAAATCATGGGGGAAACAAATATCTCAACACGTAAGTGAGTGTGTGTGTGTTTAAGTGCGTAAGGGAATGACTAAATTCTATGAAAAAATTTTAAAGTTTAAAAACAAACAAACCTGCATTGTTTGATAGGTGGGTACATATACCGATGACAGAAACGGTCAGTACATTGCAGGGATTTAAGCATAACAGAGCTCAAGTCGTCTCCCTTCTCATCTGCTAATGCAGAGCTCGACGCACTCAACTGTTTCACTGCAAACTTCTGTATCTTCAGCTTGTTTGATGGAAACATTCTGGAATGCAAATACAAGTAGCCAGTAGATAGCCACTGATAGGGAACCTAAGATGACAGCCACCCAGCGATATGTACCTGATACGTGTTGCTTTACAAGAATGCATAAAACCATGGCTACTACGCCATTATATGAGCCTATTTGGCGACAGTCGACAAAGCACGATTGTCGTTACACGCTGTCTGCCTGCACAGCGATTAGTTCGAAATCACCCACTGATGATCATCACAATCTAGGCTTTCCGACCTGCGTAAATGAACAGGATGGTCTAGCCACCTAAACTTCCATTCGAGAGACACCCTCGTGCCAAACGTTATACCAAGGGTGGTATGCTTCATCTGGTGTGAACAGGATGGTCTAGCCACCTAAACTTCCATTCGAGAGACACCCTCGTGCCAAACGTTATACCAAGGGTGGTATGCTTCATCTGGTGTGAACAGGATGGTCTAGCCACCTAAACTTCCATTCGAGAGACACCCTCGTGCCAAACGTTATACCAAGGGTGGTATGCTTCATCTGGTGTGAACAGGATGGTCTAGCCACCTAAACTTCCATTCGAGAGACACCCTCGTGCCAAACGTTATACCAAGGGTGGTATGCTTCATCTGGTGTGAACAGGATGGTCTAGCCACCTAAACTTCCATTCGAGAGACACCCTCGTGCCAAACGTTATACCAAGGGTGGTATGCTTCATCTGGTGTGAACAGGATGGTCTAGCCACCTAAACTTCCATTCGAGAGACACCCTCGTGCCAAACGTTATACCAAGGGTGGTATGCTTCATCTGGTGTGAACAGGATGGTCTAGCCACCTAAACTTCCATTCGAGAGACACCCTCGTGCCAAACGTTATACCAAGGGTGGTATGCTTCATCTGGTGTGAACAGGATGGTCTAGCCACCTAAACTTCCATTCGAGAGACACCCTCGTGCCAAACGTTATACCAAGGGTGGTATGCTTCATCTGGTGTGAACAGGATGGTCTAGCCACCTAAACTTCCATTCGAGAGACACCCTCGTGCCAAACGTTATACCAAGGGTGGTATGCTTCATCTGGTGTGAACAGGATGGTCTAGCCACCTAAACTTCCATTCGAGAGACACCCGGTTAAAATTAAGCCCGGCAAATTTTCGTGGGATTTCCTTGTCTCCCCAGGGGAATCCAAGCGAACATGAACGGCTCCTTCCAGATCCTTACCAATTCACTATTCAAGATAATCTTTCTATCTCATTCTCTTATTAATAACATACTAAGCTGAAACTAACTCCATTACGCAGAGGCCATCTTCAGAATTTAAAACTAGTTGAACTGGTTCAAAACTTTCACGCCATTTTTGGAACTGCAACGTTTATTATCGAGTTTACAGTAAGTATTCGGCCACTGGACCTTACATTGAGTAAGTTAGACGCAGTTCACTCGGCCACGTCACTTTTCGTAACTGGCCAGTTTATATTTATTCTCAAATCAAAGCATGTGTCCCGAGTACTCTTTTTAAGGATTTCTAACTAAAACTGAATGGGCAAATTTTTCCATCCTCATTTCACGCTATGTAACCACTGCATTTGGAAGCTCGTCCTTAAAGAAGCTAAGATAAATACTCCACAGCAGAAAATGAAGTATTTCATTCAGAAACTTCGATAACAAGTATGGTAAGTTTAATTAAATAATTACATTATTTTTCGTGAATACGTAGGGAAGTTAATGACTGGTATTGAACAATAACGTCTATCAGTATAAACTAAAATCACACTCAGCTTGTGCACACATCTCCGCCATGACAAGTAAACTGTGAAAAAAACCCAACTGCAGGAAAGAAATAAAAGTGATTAATCCTCATTCCTGGTTTATCACATGTTTGTGACGTAAAGTCACGTGATTTTGACGCGTGAATAATTGGGAATACCCGTTCCAATCATAAGTAAAATGGTGGTTCTTTTCAACTAAAGATTAATACCTAGTACTGATAGAGAAGTGACAAACAAGAATTGTTGTCCTGTCAACACATCAAACTCAACATGCTAATATGAAGTGGTCTATCAAAATTATGAAACAAAGGATTTACAAAATAAATGTGTATAGGTACAGCTGATTTGCATTTAATAAGACGGTAGCCTTAATAAAAGGTACGAAATTTTTAAATGTATTGCGGCTTATCGCCTGCATTACTTTCCATCAACCTAGATTTTTTCAATTTAGTGAAAGTTATTTACTATCTCAAACGTCAAAACAACGACGAAACTGCTTGTAGAAGTGATTCAGCTGGAAAATATTACTTACATTTACAATTATTTGTCACTGGCGCCATGATAGAGCGTCACAATGTTTGGCGTCGCGACACCATGCGTCGGTTTTCTAATTTCGTCAGCAGTGATATTTAAATTCATGTGCGATAACACTGGCGCCATGATAGAGCGTCGCAATGTTCGGCGTCGCGACGCCAGGCGTCGGTTTCCTAATCTTGCAGCCAAAGTTTTCCAAATCGATCGAGTCACATTCCTGGGTCTTGTGATGACGTCGTGAAGATAGGCGTCGCGACGCCGGGCGTCGTTTTTCAACTCTTGTCTTCAGTGACGTCTAACCACATCTGCGGTGTCCTTTGTCATTAGATTGTGTTGTGAAGCTTGGCGTCGCGACGCCTGGCGTCGATGTTCCAACTATTTCGCCAGTGTTATTTCAAGGGCTTCAAATTTCTTGCGTGTTGTAATGGCGCTGTAAGTGCATGTTAGCCTACGTTAGTTTAGGTTAGGTTAGGTTAGGTTAGGTTAGGTTTGGTTAGGTTAGGTTAGGTTAGGTTAGGTTTGGTTAGGTTAGGTTAGGTTAGGTTAGGTTTGGTTAGGTTTGGTTAGGTTTGGTTAGGTTAGGTTAGGTTAGGTTAGGTT